CTCCTCGTCAAGCGTCCTCCCTGCCCCTCTCGATCGTCGTGCTGCTGCTGCTGCTGCTGCTGCTCCTCCTTCTCCTCTCGCCTTCCGGGTCCTGCTCCTGCTGCTGCCGTTCAAACTCCTTGCCCTCCTCTTCCTGTGGCTCTCTGTTTGCACGTGCCAGGTATTTAGCATCTGTTGCGCCCAGCTGCCACTTCAATGTGCCTGCCTTTGTGGTTGTTTGTTTGTTTTTGTTCCTGTTTCTCTCTCGTTCCATGCATGTTCCGATTTCTCCGTATCAGTGTGTCATGTTTGTTGTGTCTGTTGTATGTTGGTGGCTCTGTCTGCTTCGTTCATGGAAATACGCATGCACACATTATATTATACACATACACTTTCCGCGCATATGCTCATACAGTCGTCACGCATGTACGCATGTGTGACGATTACGGTTCCTCATTTGCTCTGGTTGTTCTCTCTCTCTCTCTCTCTCCCTTCCTCTCACACTTTCGTTATACATACGCGTCGATCTCTTCCTTGCATCCTTCTCCTCCCCCTTCGCCTCATTATTGGAGAGGCCTGACGGCCGGTGCCGCCGACCCTGATCGAAAGGGCTAGGAGTGGGGGGAGGAAGCGGAGGATGAGGATGAGGAGGAGGAGGAGGAGGAGAAGGAGGAGGAGCAGGAGGAGGAGGAGGAGGAGGAGGACAAGGAGGAGGAGAAGGAGGAGGAGGAGGAAGAGGAGGAGGAGGAGAAGGAGGAGGAGGAAGTGCATCCTTTGTGTGCCCGCTCGAAGAAAGTGCGCCCTGGGAGTGTGATATTCTGACTTGGGACGTGCTCCCGGAAGAGGAAGAAGTGCATCTCGGGCGTGCCCGCTCGAGGAAAATGCGCCCTAGGGGGGTGGTATTTTGACTCGGGGCCCGCTCCCGGGACGCCTCTGAGGAGGAGGAGGAGGAGGAGGAGGAGGAGGAGGAGGAGGAGGAGGAGAGGAGCAGGAGGAGGAGGAGGAGGAGGAGGAAAAGGAGGAGGAGGAGGAGGACCAGGAGGAGGAGGAAGTGCATCCCGTGCGTGCCCGCTCAAGGAAAGTGCGCCCCGGCGGGCGTCGTATTTGTCCCGCTCCCCCCCCCCTGCGGGGAAGGGATCAAAAGGGAAGGGGCTTCCCTTCGACTCCACTACGACGTCGTTTAATTTCGCTTTGGATAGCGCGCTTGAGGAGGAGAGCCCTGGGAGGGGGAGAACGGAGACGACGGAGACGACGAGTCGAACGGAGAAGCCCCTCACACACGCCGACAGGGTCGGCGGATTCCTCTGCTCCTGCTCCTGATGCCGCTGCTCCACCCTCCCCCTGCCCGCTCCACTTCCTCCGCTGCCGCCAACAAAGACGCTCCGCCGCTCGCATCGGCCAGCCGGCGAGGAACGACGGCGAGGGCGACGACGACGATGGCGAGGAGGAGGACGACGACAAAGACACGGACGCGGACGAGGACGGCGACGGCGACGGCGACGGCGACAATGATCACGACTACGCTCCGCTGCGGCGGGCTGAGGCTGCTACCTCGTGCGCCGCGCCCCGCGCCGCTTCACGGAGAGGCGCCCCGCGCCGCTTCGGGGGGGGCGAGGAAGAGGAGGGTGCCGACGACGGGCTTGGGAGAGTAGGATTGGATCGGGGATCGAGGCGTGGGGACATGAGGTGGACGAGGAAAGCGAGGATCGAGGGGCGGGGAGGAAAGGGAGAGTGGGGAGGGGTTCGAGGAAGAGGGGGGGACGGGGGGGGGGAGGGGCGAGGAGATCGAGGAGAGGGGAGGGGAGGGACGAGGGGATCGAGGAGGGGGGGAGGACAGGCAGGGGGTCGAGGGTCGAGGATGGCGAGGAGGACGGTGGAGGGAGGGCGTGGAGGCAGAACGAGGTGGGAGGGCTGGGAACACAGGGGTTTGAGGGCGAGGGGGCTGGAAGCCCTGTCAGGAGAAGAAAGGAGTTGCATACCCAGGGGTTGGCTGGGGATCTCCCCCTCGAGGACATACGGCAAACCGTGACCAACCGAATCTAGATCATCCCCTCGCCTTCTCCTTGCTCTGGTTGGAGTTTCCCTCCCCCGCGAGGAGTGGATCGATCCTCCAGGACCCAGATGCTTGGACGTCTTCGGGCCCTGTTTGGACTCCCCGCGTCGCCCTCGTGACCACGGCACCCCATCTCGGCTGAGTTACCTGTAGCTCTGACTGATCGGGGGTGGACAGAACCCCCAACAGTGACACGTCGATGAGTGAATTGTCCGTTTTCGGCTCTCGAGAGGGCGCCGTGGCCGTTATTTTCCAGGCCTGCGCCCGCCAGGTTTGGGCCTCAGGTCGTCTTCACTAAACCACGTTTTACTAAAGGGGGGTCTGTCCATTCCCGAACTGAGCTACTTTCACATCGCCCAGAGATGCTTGCAACCCAGGTTCATGTGTAATCGGGCCTGGGTTACAGGTAGCTCAAAGTTACTTGTAAGTCAAGGACCGGTTACAGCTAACTGATTCAGCGGTGGCCGTGCTACACGTAATTCAGCTGAGTTAAGCGCAACTGAGCTTGGTATACAGGTATCCCACCCAGAGTTTCAGGTAACCCTCGTTGAGCTGCTTGTAACTGACGTTGGGTAACTTGCAATTCATTTCAAGGTACAGGTAACTCCTGGGTGGGGCGGGGGACGGGGCGGTAAGGCGGCGAAGGCCGAGTTACGTCCATTTCTTCTGAGTTGTCTGCAGCTCGGCTGGGCTACCTGTAGCTCGGCTGAGGCACCTGTAGCTCGTCCTGGGTTGCACGTCGCCGTGGGGAGCACCATGAGGATGGCAGAAGGCAACTCTGCCGGCAAGCTGAGAAGCCGAAATGGCTGGATTATACTGCTGGAGAGCCAAACGGCCCGAACCGATAGCCGGAGAACCAGACGGCCCAAATAGCCAACATGAACACCACACAGCCAGGAAAAAAGGGCAGCGGGAATACCACGGGGCCGAGCAGACGGCTGAAACATCAGACGACCTGAACAGACATCACGAACACCAGACGCTCGAAAAGACAGCCAGAACATCGCAGGGCCCGAGTAGACAGCTGGAAACCCAGACAGCCCCAACTGACAGCTGGATAATTACATGGCTCGACAGCTGGAAACGCATAATCCCCGAATCGGCAGCTGGAATACCAGACGCCCCAGAAGGACAGCATTATAAACACATCGCATGGTCAGAGACCAGAAAAAACAGGGCGCGAGCAGACGGCTGAAAATTACAACCGCCGAAAAACAGCTGGAAAACCTGAGGCCTCGAACACACAATTAGAACACCATACGCCCAAAGCTGACAGCCGGAAAACCACAGGGCTTGAATAGACAGCCAGAGAACAATAGAGGAGGGAGGAGGGCGGCGGAGGGCAACGCTGCCTGCACACTGACGAACCGAACGGCCCGAACAGACGACTGGAAAACCACAGGGCCCAGAAAGAACATCGGAAAACAAGGGGCTCCGAACAGGCTGGAAATCCAGACGGCCCGAACAGACAGCTGACCCCCCCCCGTCGCCGAACAGGCAGCGGGAACCCACACGGCCAGAACAGGCAGCTGGAAGACCAACCGGTCCGAACTGGCAGCTAGAAAAATTAGCTTGACGTAGGACCCAACCGTATTCAGATGCGGGTACCGCCTTGTAGGTATCGCTTTCGGTAGAGCTCCTTATAGGGCCCCGAACAGTGTGAGGGGTGTGCCGAATTGGGTGCGGTGGTGCCATGCGAGCCCTCCCTCTGGAGCCTTCGGTGGAGCTCCCGATGGGGCCACGAAACGGGTGAGGGGTTTGCCGAATGTGGCGCGGTGGTGCCATGCGAACCCTCCCCCACTGGAGCCTTCGGTGGAGCTGCTTATGGGGCCACGAGACGTGCGAGGGGGTGTGCCGAATTGTGTGCCGAATTGGGTGCGGTGGTGCCATGCGAACCCTCCCACTGGAGCCTTCGGTGGAGCCCCCTATAGGTCCACGAACCGTGTGAGGGGTGTGCCGAATTGGGTGCGGTGGTTCCATGCGAACCCTCCCCACTGGAGCCTTCGGAGGAGCCCCCTATGGTGCCACGAAACGGGTGAGGGGTGTGCCGAATGGAGTGCGGTGGTACCATGCGAACTTTCTCACCGGAGCCTTCGGTGGAGCCCCCTATGGGTCCACGAGCCATGTGAGGGGGTGTGTCGGATTGGGCGCGGTGGTGCCATGCGAACCCTCCCCACTGGGGCCTTCGGTGGAGCTCCCTGTGGGGCCACGAAGCTTGTGAGGTGTGCCGAAATGGGTGGAGGGGACGCATGTGGACGGTGGCCCTGGAGCCTTCGGTGGAGCTCGCTATGGGGCCACAAGACGAGTAAGGGGGTGTGCTGAATTGAGCGCGGTGATGCCATGCGGACCCTCCCACTGGGGCCTTCGGTAGAGCTCCCTATGGGTCCGCGAAGCTTGTGAGGTGTGTGCCGAAGTGGGTGGAGGGGACGCATGTGGACGATGGCCCTGGAGCCTTCGGTGGAGCTGCCTATGGGGCCACGAACCGTGTGGGGGGGAGTGCCGAAGTGGGTGGGGGGACGCATGTGGACGATGGTACTGGGGCCTTCGGTGGAGCTCGCTATGGGGCCACGAAACGTGTGAAGAGTGTGCCGAAATGGGTGTGGGAGACGCATGCAGGCGGTGGCACTGGGCCCTTCGGTGGAGCTCCATATGGTGCCACGAAACGTGTGAGGGATGATGGTGATGACAGCGATGATGGTGATGATGACGGTCGTGAGGATTATGACGACGACGATGATGGTGATGCCGGTGATGATCACGACGACGACGATTCTGATGATGATGATGATGATGGTGGTGGTGATGATGATGGTGATGACGATGCCGATGATGATGGTGGAAGGAGGGAGGATGGGGAGAGGGAGGAGGAAGGAGAGGAGACGCGGGGCGCTGTCTCTTCGAAACGAGGACCCAACACCACGTAATAGTTGGGAAAAAAACAGGTCCCGAACCGACAGCCGGAAAACCA